TATTTATATGGAAGCATCCTCAGGTAGTGTCGATTCAAGTTTGTTCAAATCATGACCCCTGGTGGAAGGGCGGGGCCACAATGGCCGACCAAAGTTTTACATAGAAATATGTAGGAAAATTCTTTAAAAATCTTCTTCTCAAGAATAACAAAGCCATAATTGATCATATTTATATGGAAGCATCCTCAGGTAGTGTCGATTCAAGTTTGTTCAAATCATGACCCCCGGGGGTAGGGCGGGGCCACAATGGCCGACCAATATTTTACATAGAAATATATAGGAAAATTCTTTACAAATCTTCTTCTCAAGAATAACAAAGCCATAATTGATCATATTTATATGGAAGCATCCTCAGGTAGTGTCGATTCAAGTTTGTTCAAATCATGACCCCTGGGGGTAGGGCGGGGCCACAATGGCCGACCCAAGTTTTACATAGAAATATGTAGGAAAATTCTTTAAAAATCTTCTTCTCAAAAATAACAATTTGAAAGCCATAATTGATCATATTTATATGGAACCATCCTCAGGTAGTGTCGATTCAAGTTTGTTCAAATCATGACCCCCGGGGGTAGGGTGGGGCCACAATGGCTGACCCATGTTTTACATAGAAATATATAGGAAAATTCTTTACAAATCTTCTTCTCAAGAATAACAAAGCCATAATTGATCATATTTATATGGAAGCATCCTCAGGTAGTGTCGATTCAAGTTTGTTCAAATCATGACCCCCGGGGGTAGGGCGGGGCCACAATGGCCGACCAAAGTTTTACATAGAAATATATAGGAAAATTCTTTAAAAATCTTCTCCTCAAGAATAACAAAGCCATAATTGATCATATTTATATGGAAGCATCCTCAGGTAGTGAAGATTCAGGTTTGTTCAAATAATGACCCCTGAGGATAGGGTGGGGCCACAATGGCCGACCCATGTTTTACATAGAAATATATAGAACAACTCTTTACAAATCTTCTTCTCAAGAATAACAAAGCCATAATTGATTGCATGTGCCATTAAGGAGGTGGTTAATAAGGCAGGGAGTGACATGAACCCCCATATTATATGTGGGGACTTTAACTCGGAGGTGACTAGCCCGGGTTATCAGCTGTGTACAGAGGGATACCTGTCTGACGCCTGTATTCAACAACTCCAGTCACTGGAGAATTTACAATTTCAGGATGGATCAGTGAGTGGATATTTTTTTCGTCTTGTATTGAGTGGTTTTTATGATAATGAGATAAAATTTGGTTATCTACAGTAAGGAGTTTAGTTTTGTTGCTCATGTTTAAGTACTGTGCAGATATGTTATTTTAGAGAGTTACTTTTTAAATTCGAATATTATAAAATTCTGTGGGAACTAATACATGAGTTTAAAAGTGGAAAATTCATTGTAGAAATCTTCATTAATCAACACATTATGGAGGGCATTTCAGCATACATCCAGCAGTATGAAAAGTGCCTATAAAGCTGCTCAGGTAAGACAAAAAAAGGTCATGGGTGTTAAAAAGTGTATTGTTCTGTTCCATTATAAGATATTTTTTTTGTATTTATACCAAAGAAGCCTAATTCTAGACTTAGATAATGCTCCTTTAAATTTGAACAACATAATTACAAAAAGAACATCTTTACTAAGTCAAATGTAAGGCCTAATCTTATGAATATTTCAGGGGAGAGAACCACGTCTGACCTCCTTCCAGAAATTAATGAGGGCGGCTGTAGACTACATTTTCTTCAGCTCTAACTGTCTGGACAATGTGGGGGTACTAGAGGTGGCGCCGGAGGAGGCCATCACACAGACAGGGGGAATCCCCGACCAAATATTCCCATCAGACCATGTATCAATCAAGGCCACTTTCTCATTCAGATAAACAACATCTGTAAGTTTTCTCAGCCAATGAAATGTTTCACAAACATCTTAATTAGATTTATAATGATTGGTTTTTTTTATATAGCGCCTTTCTAGCATAAATGCTACTCAGAGCGCTTTACAATACATTAGAGTCCTTTTTTAGAAGGAAAGAAGGACTCTTTGCTAGACTAATTCACATGAATGAAACAATTTTGTGTGTTAAAACATGAACATTTTTCTCTAATTACAGTAAAACTCAGTTAAAACGAAGTCACTGGGACCTATGAAATTACTTCGCTATATCTGTAATTCATTATATCGGTATAAGGAATTCGTTAAATTTATATAGTTGGGGATCCAAGATAACTTTGCTATATCCGTGAATTCCCTATATCCATGTTCGTACTAAACAAGTTTTACTGTATTGCTTGTTAACTGACCTTTCAAATTACTGAGTTTGAAAAAAAAAAACCTAATGAATTTGTTGAAAATAAGTTTTCCATATAATGATAGATTTATAAAATCAAAGTGTTATGTCAGAGATGTTTCTAACTAAATCATGAAAGTGTATTATTGTGTTCATGTTTTTTTTCACACATTGGTGTAGCTTCATGAAATAACCCTCATGAATGATTTGTCTTTTCAGATCATGATCATTATTGGAGAGCCTCGACTAAAGATCTACTTCCTCATTAATCATTGGTCAAATCATGTCAATCATCTGAATCATAGTTTACCTCTAGAACTGATGGACTAGCAACAAAGTGCAGCTAATTTTGAACATGGTCACGAAGGCACCACTACGTACATGGTTAAACAAGTCAACAATTAATATTTTTTGTGGAACCTTGAAAACACATTTTGGCTTTAAAAAGTTGCCTTTTCCTCCTAAATGGATTTTTTTCTTTCTTTGAACTTTGTCCACCTTATATTTATCATCTCAAGAAAATCCAGATGTGTATAGAATATGCTTTATAAACGAGGCCTCTTAGTTATATGTTGTTTTTTATGATAGAGTTAATGAATTATTTTATGAACATTTATTAATTCAATTGAGAATTTGGGTATTTTAATGTGTTTGTTGTTTTATTCTTCTTTAATGAATGTGAGTTTGGATTTCAGTGTTAGTTGATGTTGAAAGGTGCCATTTTGGTTTCAATATTGGATGTATACATTTTTTCCTAAGCTTAAAATATTATTGTGGAAGTTATTACTCTTAGAAAAAATATGTCTGTAAAAAATTAAAAATTTTTATAACTGAAATTATTTTCTTGTTAATTAAATTATTAATAAAATCTGACCTCATAGAGGATGTTTATTTGTTAAAAGATAAGGTGCTCATTTTTCTTAAGATATTTATTATGCCAAAAAAATATATAAAGTTTAATAATTTTATTTCATCTTACTTTATGTAATCCGAATAGAAGGAATATATTTGGACAATAGAATAGCATTCTCAGAGGATTCTGATTAAGTTGATGTAGAATTTGGCTTTTCCGACGATATTTCAAATTTAACATGAGAGCAAAGCGTTTTTATTGTCAAACAACTTCAACTGTCATTTTCATTATATATCATTGTAAATTATTCATTCCTTTGAAGAAAAAAAACATGTTTAGTGCATATTGATATTTTGGAAGAAAAAAAATGTGTTTATAATTTCATTCTCAAACTTGTAGTTTCTCTTTTGTACAAATTAGAAATGACTCATATATAAATATTATGTATATCGACAGTTTTCCATGTTTATAGCTTTTTTTGTCCAATTTTGACCTGCAAAAGCTATGCTATAATTGCTCGTATTTTACTTATAAAATACATTTCTTTTGGAAAATCATTAAGGTTCAAGCAACATTTTATATGAGTGAGCAGAGGGTTTATGAACCTTAAAGAGCAGAGTTGCATGAATTTCTGAAAATATAAAATATCAATTGTTTTTATTGATATATAGCCACTGACTTTTAGCAAATAGTAATAATTGGGAATACTCTGAATCACCCTGCTTTTCGCGCTTGGGTCTTTTTTTGAGACTGTTCTTTTCATCATCTTTGTAGCTCAATTTGTATGATGTACAATGTACCCTTTAAAATCCCAAATCTTCCAATTCTCAGGTAGACAAAACACTATTTCCTAAAGAGAGAATTTTTAAAACTTAAAGGTTTATATTAATATACAATCCTCATTTAATTGACACTATATATATGAAAAACTTCAAACAATGAAATTTGATCACAGAAAAAACAACTGCCCTTGAGCAAACTATGAATATGAAAGATCGAAGAGAAATTTTGCCGGGTGTTGACGATTTAAGACAATCCAACTAGAAAGACGACGGGCTTGTTCCTGGAATGGCCACTCCGCACTCCATGTAAGTGTTCGGAGTGTAGGATCATCCACCACCAATGTTCCCAACAAGGAACCTCCTCCCCCACACACCCTCCTCACAGAACCTACAATCCGCATGATCCGTTAATAGGATAACTGGACAATCTCTCTCTCCCTCTCTCATGTAGCTTGTATAGCTCTAGTCTGAAATATCTGACGTTTTCAGGATATTTTACGAGCCAAGAAAACATTAACGTAAAATATCAACATCGTAAAAAGTACAACAAAAACTGGAAAACATCAGATATTTGGGTCTAATATAGCTCAAGTCAAAGAAATTCTACATGTTAAAACATGCGAATATTACTTATTTAAGGGGAAGAAGGACCTTTAGCTGAAAAAACAATAATGTTATCGGTATTTTGTAATGTTATAGGTATTTTGTAATAAATGTTATAGTATTTTGTAATGTTATAGGTATTTTGTAATGTTATAGGTATTTACCTGTGACTGCCGGAGAAGATGGGTAGTCTCCCGCCACTACTGCAGAAGTTTCAGATCCACCTACAAGTTCACATTGATCTTCTCCAGATCTGCTCCCGTCTCCAATGTTTAAGAAGGTTGTCGTCAAATTTGCACCAAGGAAAAACTTGTATCTAAAATGCACACTAGTTATAACTGGTAGCAGGAACTGCTTTGCCACAAAACATAAAATGAAAGCAAAGAAAATATTTTGCCCGCTAAATATAACCTGGATAGACAAAGTCACCAATGCGAATACTTAATGAGATGTCCATAAGCCACCCGCTACATGTCCGAATACATTGAACTTTTTATTGTACTCACATATTTCTGCAGTGTGATTCTGATTAAAACTCTTTAAGTGTCTTTTTAACCATTATTTACTTTTACCTAATAGTGAAAAAAGTAATTGGAAGGACACAGTAATAACTAATTAAAGGACACACTTAATATCGATATGGAACCCTGTAACTGAATTTGAATTTAATTTGATTCATACCTTGTACTGTTACACAAGACTACAGCGAGATACGGAGCCGAGGTGAAGTTTGTTTTCTTGACCACTGTTTTTCCCCCGCTACATCCATTGAAAGACTCATCCACGGACACCTCATAAGCATACCAACAAGGGCGTGGCCGACATGCATGCTATCATGCAAAAAATTCAATTACCAGAAATCATATTAACACTAGTGTACCAAAAAGGATTTTTTTTCACCTTGCAAGAAAGTGATGTTTAGAAACTAAAAAGAACTTCTAGATACAGTAAAACTCGTTTAGTACGAACATGGATATTGCGAATTCACGGATACAGCGAAGTTATCTTGGATCCCCAAGGTATATAAATAAAAAAAATTCCATATACGGATATAGCGAGAATCTGATGTCCAACTACTTTGTTAATATAACCCAGTTTTCAACTACAATTAAACTGTGCTCACGCGGTTCCTGGGGGCCGGGAATCTGAACGCCGACACGGTACCAGGAGTCAGTCCACCATCCGTGTGTCCCCAGATAAAATGTCCATAAAGAACTCCTCCCCTAATTCCACTGCGGGCATAACCTGAAAAAAAAAATTCATATATTCTTAATTAAAAATAAAGATGGAAATTCTAGGATTACGTAAGTAGTTATAGTATATGTTAAAAGTTTTTCAAACTAAGGTCAAACTCCAAGGTTAAGGTCAAATGGTTTAAACTGTTGGTACTCAAGGAAAGGTCTTTTAAAAAAGATACACATGTAAAGTAGGAATTCAGAAAGCCTTTGCACCAACCTTTCAAAAGTTAACCACAACCTTTCAAAAGTTAACCAAGGTCAAAATTTGATAAAGTTTTACAAAAGTAACTCCAGGCTCAAGGTCAACATTCATTAAAAGGTCAAGTGTGCTTCTATTTACTTGGTATATTATAACAAAACAAAATATCGTCTCAAGTTCTCCAGAATGAGAGAGGATTAAGATTTGGCCTATGGTTTGCGACTATGCAATTAATAAAGTTAAAGAAAAAAAATTCTGACACATTTTCCCGGATTTTTCAAAATTATCCTTTCTTAGGGATATCCATCCCTTAGAATTCTATACGAGGGGTGGTAATGTAGCACCCTTTCTTAAACATACCGGTTAGTGTGGGGGAACTCATATAGTCCCCGGGTAGGACGGCATCCTCTTTGCTCCAGTCCCCCTACCAGTTCACAATGATCCGCTCCATCACCGCTGCCATCACCAACATTCAAAAATGTGTCGGTCAAATTCATACCCAGAATATCTTGTACCTGTTGATAAGGTACAAATACATAATTCATTTTTCTATTTTCAGGGTTAATAGCAGTTTACATTTGTATATGTTTCGATTTTGATTCTTATTCACCCATGCACCCAGCATGACATATAAACGACAAAAAGAAGAAAAAAAATAAAGCACAAAACAAAAGTCAATGTATGAACAAAACACATATCGTTTAAGTTATCCTCCTTCAACTGACATTCACTCTGGCAAGAAGAAATTTTTCTTACCTTGTAGAATTGCAGAGTACTACACCGACCAACGGTGCGGACACATATTGCGTTTTCTTGACATACCTCGGACCACCCGGACATCCATTCCAGGCAGTGTCATGTGTAAAGTTGTACTTGTACCAACAAGAAGTCGTGGTGTTAAAGCAGTCTGAAAGAGAGAGTAGAAATAACTGAAATGTATGATCATTTGCTAATGTTTTGTCAATGAGTAGGAATGCTTACTCCTTTTAGGCGCCTAATCCCATGCACCTCTGGTGTTTTAGAGGTCCGTGTTTTCTCTGCTCCTAATTTGTATTTTGATAACTGTTCGTTATTTCCATATATCATCTCAGAATGAATGTATAGAACTAAAATACCTGGCGGGTTAGATTGTTGTCCACATACATAGGCTGGAGATGACCAGGTCCCATTACTCCTACAGGTAGAGGTCAAGGTTATTGAGGGGTCAGAGTTACAGGTGTAGGTAAGGACAGTTCCGATCTTTGTGGCTGTGACCATGACCGAAGTTAAGGTCGCGTCGGGATGAAGGTCAGGGCAGTCTTAAGAATTGATAATAAATGTTATTTATCAATTTTCGAAGAGTGTTTTTACGAAAGCCAAATTCTTAATTCATTCACAACAATAAACTAATCAATTTATATTAGCTTTACCATCAGCATTTTATTTTAAATGATTCGATATTATAATAATGTTATTCAAATTTTCGTTTACAAGAAATCGTTTAAAAAGTACCCCTTATTTTTTGGAAATTAACTTTTCAGTGTGGTATACAATTAAATTACCGAAAACGAAAACCGTTAGATCGATTATCAATTATTAAAAATTCTAAAATAACGAAAACTTACTAGTATTAATAACAAAAACAAAACTGTAAATTTTTCAGATGCTGATTTCAAACCTGATTTGACGCACTTTGGACCAGAAGCCGCGGGAATACATCTTTCTTGAAGTGAGCACGATGCATTACAAGACCCAGAGTATTCCTAAAGGACAGAAATAAAAAGAAATGTACATGTATTTAGGTTTGTAACATATCAAAACTTTGGTTCCTTTATGTATAAATACTGCAGTTAACTTCAAATCTTTTCTTTTAAATTTAAACTAAAAAAGTGTTTCCGAGATAAGCCGTTTTTAAAATTATTTCATAAAGTAAAAGCATTCTTTTTAAACAATTTTAATACTTTAAAAACAAAATATTTACGTAACAACAAACTTTTCGTATCTTTTGAAATAGACATGCATTTTTTAACATATAAAATTTGATGTCTGTGTTTTCAAGTTCATGTACATGTACTGGTACTAATTTTTCGACGATACAGATAATTGATTTAAATTTTCACAAAATTTATAATTTTAGAAGGTTATCCTATCCAAAAAGGTCGTTTAAAGAATTTTAAAAAATAAGAAAGGAAATGTTTTTAAAAAAATCTAGACTGATACCCCTGGAATATTGCTTCGACTGACGTATATGTATTTCACATCCGACGTCAGATCAGAGGGACTCTCTGATTCGTCGCTATAGGACAGTTCACATTCTAAAAGACTTCTCTGAAAATTTAACGAGGCACAAGAAACTCTTTTCGAACATTCCCTGATGCACATCTCCATTCCGATTGGGAC